TCCACACAAGATTTTGATTTTTGAGTTTTGATATTGAAGAGTGATAACAATTATTCACATGATCGATTATTTAGATTTTATATTGTGAATCCATGTTTTACATAATATTTGAAATCATTCAAAAATCATCCATAAACAAAAACAAATTAAAAAGCATACCACATTCCCCAGGCTCACAGCAGAGATATTTACCCTTCTCGCTTTCCAAAACCGCAATATGCCCCACAAACCTTAAATGATGAATCACAACTTCCCTGCCAAGCTTGTTTGCATATAGTATTTTTGTATTCAACTGCATATGATCTGAGTATGGATTCTTTTGTTCATCCCAGCGGTTGAATATTTCAAAGTGTCAAATCAAAACCAAACTATATTTGTCACACCATATTTAAATAGCCGACTACTTCATCCATACAATTGTAATCCTGAATCATAAATGTTGATACTTGAGTTACCATGAGGATCACAGTGGAAATTCCTTGCTGGAACATATTTTTGATTAAAAATTTCCACACTCTTCACCCTTAGCACTGCTTTTTCAATGCCTTCATCAGCCGGTTCATACCCAAGTTCCCTCAACTGAGGCTTCCACTGATTATAAGCCCTTGATTCAAGTGTTATCTCCTCTCCCTTCTTTGGCATCACAATTTGAGGTGTATTGACAGATGCTCCTTCACTCATCAATCCCCATTGGTTTAATTTTGTTTGATTGATTTGTAACCGGGCTCGTTACAGGTCTGAAGGGGACTGTGTGAGAGGCTGTGAAAGGTGCGTGAAAGACGTAGGTTTGATTTCGTAATCAAAACAAGATAGATGTCTGAGGAATGAAAGACAACGGGCCAGGCAGGGTCCTTTTATACCCTGCCGGCGTGACTAGAGAAAGAGAGGAAAACAGCGCTGCAAGCCTCAGGGAAGAAGTCCCTGAGGCGCGTGAAACTATGAAAAGCGGCACGGGGGCCGATACTGAACAACAACGGGACTTGAAAAGCCCCAAACAAGGGAGTGTCTAGAAATAGAAAGAAGAAGGAAGGCGCCCTCGTCGTCCTGAGGGCCGTGGGCGTCTGTCGTCAAGTAGTCGTGAGAAGACCCAAGCCCGTCGGGAGGGCAAGGGTATTGGAGGTTTGGACCCAAGCCCGTTGGTAGGGCGAGGGTTAGTTCGAAACCCGGAGTCAGCGTCGGAGCTGTCACGGGCACGGCTACAACCATCCCCCCCTTTAAGGAGGGGATGACCCAGCCCCGGAATCCTTGGCCGGTGTCGCGTCGCCGGAGGTGGCAAATCGGCCGGTAATCTTGATCTTCGACTTGGGTGGGGGGACCTTGGCAATAGATTTTGCTCGTTTTATGAGGGCCTTCTCGACCCGAGCTTCCGCTTGCTTTGCTTTAAGAGCGATTGAAGGGGGCGTAGACCACATGTCGCTCCGGATGAGGGACCTAAGAGAAACCGGACGAAGGCAGTTGCCGTTGACTGGTCGAGAATAGTCCTCGACGTCCTGGTCAACCAGTATATATACGTTATTGTCGAGAGCTTTCTTGATCTCGAAAGGCCCGAACCATTTTGCGTTCCCTTTTGTATGGGATTTGTTGCGCAGCTTGACCGATTGTCCAACGACAAAGGAGTCAAACGACTTCTCGAATTTGGTATTGTTATCAAAAGCAGTTTTGTTCCGCTCTGCCCTGGCCGTCGTGCGATCCAGGGCTTCCTGGCATTTGGAGTTCAAGTCGGCAATCCAGGATCGTAACTCATCCTCCCCCGGCAGTGCTGCATCCGACGCCACCAACTTCTCCGGGTCCGAAGGCAGCCGTGGTTTGACGCCGTAAGTCAGTTCGAACGGTGAATACTTGCTGCTGTCGCTAGCGTGTATCCGCGTCGAGTACAAGGCGGCTGGCAGGTAGTCTTCCCATCTCGCGGGATCACCCGTCTTGTTCAGTCGAAATATGGCGGCCTCCAAAATGCCGTTGTATCGTTCGCATTTCCCGTTAGTCCTCGGGTGGTATCCCGAGGTGTTCAGTTTTTTTATTTTCCCCGCATCAAGGAAGCTTGCCAGTCCTCCAGCGAGGAAGTTGGCACCTCTATCCGTCAAGAACTCCTTTGGTAGACCAAAGGGTGTGATGACATGCTCGAGCAGTGCTTCAGCAATTGCTGTAGCCGTCGCTTCCACCATGGGAATGGCTATCGGCCATGAGGTACAGTGGTCGACGACCGTCAAGATCCAGTTATATCCAGCTTTATAACTCTTGGGCATGGAAATGAAGTCCGCTGCCCATCTTTCAAAAGGGGCAACCACAGGGAGAGGGATCTGCAGTCCCGTTTCTTGTGTTTCATGGGCTCTTTCGTGGATCTGGCACGAGGAGCAGGTTTTAATGTAATTTTTTACATCCTCATATTGTCGAGGCCACCAGCCGCGTCCTCTGAGGAGTTGCAAGGTGGAGTCTCGGCCGCGATGGCCCATGTCGTTGTGCAGGCGTTCAAGGAGGGAGTAACGGTGGGGGAAAGATATGAATGGAGATCGTTCCTCAAGCCCCGGCCGGCCCAGATAGATCAGGGTATCGGCCGTGGCGTCGTACTCAAACAACTTGTCAGTGTCTCTGGCCCGGGTGATCATGCCCTGCGGAATAAAGTCCGGAATGGGTCTGCCGTCCCGGAGGTACGGTATGATTAGCGGCCAGTCGGTGTTATGGAATGTCTCCACCAATTCGTCTATGAGAGCTAAGTCCGCCCGGCGCGATAGTGCGTCCGGGACCACATTTTCCGACCCCTTCTTGTACTTGACCACAATGTCCATCTCCGAAAATTCGTCAATCCATCGGGAAAGGCGGGGGGAGGGGAGCTTCTGAGTCGCCAAGTACTGGAGGGAGGAGTGATCGGTGTACACGACCGTCGTCTCAACGGCGCCATCAAGATATATCTTCCATTTCCGCCAAGCATGCAGAATCGCCAAAAGCTCTCTCTCTTGCGCAGGATAATTCCGCTGAGAGGAGTTCAGTTTGCAGGACTCGAAAGCCACCGGATGTGGTTTCTTGTCCTCGCTATTTTGCAATAAAACAGCGCCAACCGCATAGTCGGAAGCGTCTGTTTCGATGATGAACGGCTTGGTGAGATCAGGCATTATCAACACCGGCGCCGAAGTCAGGGCCTGTTTCAAGAGTGAGAATGCAACCTCGTGGACAGGCAGCCACGTGATTGCTTGCCGTTTGGTCACGTTCCCGGCGGTCAAATCATGGAGTGGAGACGCCAATTTGGCGAAGTTTTTGACGTAGCGACGATAGTAGCTACTCAGTCCCAAGAATGAACGCACATCGTGGACCGTCGCTGGGCGCGGCCACTCGTTGATGCTGTCTAGTTTGTCCTTCATCGGACGGATGTTATTGTGAGACACCATGTGGCCCACAAACTGCATCTCCAGTTGTCCAAAGGAGCATTTGGCGCCGCTGCACTTCAATTCCTCCCTTCGGAGAACCTCGAAAACCCGTTGAACGTGAAGCAGGTGCTTGTCTTCTGATTTAGAGTAGATTAGAATATCGTCCAAGTAGACTTGCACGAAATTGTCAATAAATTCTCGAAGTATGTGGGTCATCATACGCTGGAAGGTGCTAGGCGCATTCACTAGTCCAAACGGCATTACCAGCCATTCGAAGTGCCCGTACTTAGTCCCAAAGGCCGTACGCGGCACGTCCTTGTCAGCGATTTTCATCTGGTAGAAGCCTTGTTGGAGGTCCACTTTTGAAAAGAATTTCGCGCCGCGGAGCGAATCAAAACATTCCTGTATCAAAGGAATAGGGTGGCGGTCTTTCTTAGTAACAGCGTTCAAGGCACGGTAGTCTACACATAAGCGTAGTTTTCCCGAGTTTGGGTTCTTGGCAAACAGGATAGGAGAGGACCAGGCGGAAGTAGAAGGCCGGATAAATCCGGCTGATTGCAACTTAGCTAGTCTGGCCTTAAGTTCCCCCAGCAGGGCCGGAGACATTTGTCTGACCGGCTGGTGGACTGGTTTGGCGTCCCCCGTATCGATGAGATGCTCAATCACTCGTTCCCTGTTGGAGGCTCTTTCCAGCTCGTCGAACAGAGATGAGAATTCGTTAGTCAGTTTTACCAGGCCGGTTTTCAACGGCCCGGTACCTGGGAAAGCCGATGGGAGTTGCGACATGGGTTCTTCCCCGGGGACCCAGTACTGTACCGTCAGAGATGAGGTTCAGGTAGCAGTCTGTGGCGACAGCGGTAGCTCGACGCCTGATCTGCTCCTTCGAGAGGGGTCGTTTGCCTTCTTCTGTTATAGATAACAGAGTATGAGCGGAGATCGGTGAGATGGATGAGGAAGTAGGAAAAAAAGAGACCAGCCGTTCGTCGGCGGTGCGGAGGACCCATTCATTGGTCCCCCAATTTGTGGAGACAACATTCTCCGCAATCCAGTCCCGACCTAGGATGAGGTCAAATGAGGACAAAGGGGCCACCCTGCAAGTGATTTTCATGCAGATCCCCTCAAAGCAAAGCGGTACCTCGGCGGTTTTGTTATTTTCTATAACATCGCCAAAAGCCCCAGATACCGAAAATTTTTCACACGAGGTAGCTTGTGCCAGGCCTCGATCACTTACAAGTTTGGCAGACACGTAAGACGAGCCAGCGCCCGTGTCCAGGAGGAGCCTGGCCAGGCGCCCCGCCACTGTATGATGGAAATCCACACACAGGCGTCTGTCTTCATCACAGACAGAGGACAAGGGGTCAGACTTCGTCGATCCCATCTTGTCGCTCAAAACCTCCAGTTTACTCACGTTACTCAAAGGCACATCTGTCCCCATGCCTGGGCAATCAGATGACTCACTTGTTTGCCCTGTTACAACAAAGGCAACAGTCTTGCTCGGCTCAACAAACCGAGACTCAGCGCGCTCACAAACATCAGATGAACTCAATATATTAATTACCGAACTATCACGACTAGCAGGGGAATAACAAGGAGATACAACAGATGAGACAATAGTCGATGGGAGAGACAGTTCGCCATCGACTAGGCTTTTAAAGCCGGTTTAGCTTTGGCTTCATAGGCCTTCTGCTTTTCAGTCTTGGGTTCAGGACACTTAGAACTTACATGGCCCTCTTTGTTACAATTGTAACACGTGAGGGCCCCACTGGCCTTTTTCTTCGGCTTTGAGTCGCCTCCGTCGGAGGCTTGTTTGTTTGAGCCAGAGGTGACCGTCGCCGCCAAGGCTGCGTTCTTGCGCCACATGCGATCCTCATCGAGCGCTGCGACCACAATTTGCGAGAACGTCATCCGGGTGCCTCGGCGCTCCTCCGTGTGCATCAGGGTGGTGAGCTTGCGGTTCAGTGCTTTGTTGAGCCGACTCACGAACCCCGTCTCTTCATGGTAGGGGAAGTCGTAGATCTTGGCCCGACATTGCCAGTCGCGGAAACGGTCGTAGAACGCTTGACAGGACTCGTTGGGCCCCTGCGACAGCGCGTCGTATTCCTCCGCGATCACGTTCTGGGAGACCAAGATGGGATTCAAACTGATCAACCAGTTGCAGAAACTGTGCCCAGTTGTCGGGGGCGGTGTCCAACACCGTCGAGTCTTCATAGTCGGCATAGGCTTTTCCCTGCAGGAGTCGGATACAGGCCAAGTGCCAAACATCTGGGTGCGTTTGTCGGTTGCGGAGGTTGATGGTCAGGGTCGTCAACCAGCGTCGAACGTCTACACCGATGGTCCCCTCATAGTAGGGGCAGTTTTTGTACAACCAGCCTCAAAAAACATGACCGAGGTTGGTCTCGAGGTGGGCGGACAGAGCCGTTGCGTCATGGAGGCGCTCATAAGGCTGAGGCGGGGGGGGACGTTGTTGTTGATCGATATCCATGCCGTCAGGGTCGAGCTTGATGTCGCCAACACCCCGTGCGGTGTGCTCCATCCTAACATCCACCGGAGCCAGAGGCCTTTGGTTGCTTGGCATCTCGTTCGGGTCTGTGACGTCAAAGATATTAGTCTCGTCGGCGTCTTTCATTAATTCCGAGTTAAATGAATCGGATGAGTTGGACTCACTGTCCGTCATCGTCTTCCAAAAGTTTGGGTGCTTTTGGATGAACGCCAATTGCGCTGGCGTCATGAGGACGAGCTCCTCTGGAGAGTACGTGTCCCCACGCACCGGAGGGGCAGGTCGGACAAACGGGGCGTCTGTGATCTCGTTGCCGTTTGTTCGACCGGAGTCTCCTGTAAGGTCGTCAACACCGTTACCGCTGGCGTAGGCGGGGGTATTCTTTCCTTTGGGGGAGTGCTGGACGGCCATTTCTATAATGGGGTCCGAAAACGGTAAGAAAAACAAATGAGGTTAGCTCAATGTTTTCTTTTCAAACTTAAGTTGTTTGCAACTTTCGGTAGCTTAGGCACACAGGCCCTGCCCCAAAGGTCGAACTACAGTCGGATAAGGTTACACACCTAGTATCCTAAACAAATCAGTTGCAAATCGGATAAGTCGAGTTTTAAGGTCGAAGAGGAGGGTCGAGTGCTTCGGAGGCGGTTCTCAACAACAGCAAGGAAGGGATTCGGAGGTGGTTTGTTGAGGTTAGTGTTTTCGAAAGGTATGTAAAAAAAAGAACTCGCTACCACTGTAACCGGGCTCGTTACAGGTCTGAAGGGGACTGTGTGAGAGGCTGTGAAAGGTGCGTGAAAGACGTAGGTTTGATTTCGTAATCAAAACAAGATAGATGTCTGAGGAATGAAAGACAACGGGCCAGGCAGGGTCCTTTTATACCCTGCCGGCGTGACTAGAGAAAGAGAGGAAAACAGCGCTGCAAGCCTCAGGGAAGAAGTCCCTGAGGCGCGTGAAACTATGAAAAGCGGCACAGGGGCCGATACTGAACAACAACGGGGCTTGAAAAGCCCCAAACAAGGGAGTGTCTAGAAATAGAAAGAAGAAGGAAGGCGCCCTTGTCGTCCTGAGGGCCGTGGGCGTCTGTCGTCAAGTAGTCGTGAGAAGACCCAAGCCCGTCGGGAGGGCGAGGGTATTGGAGGTTCGGACCCAAGCCCGTTGGTAGGGCGAGGGTTAGTTCGAAACCCGGAGTCAGCGTTGGAGCTGTCACGGGCACGGCTACAGATTAATGCATAGTATTGTGATTTCTGATTCCATGAATTCATGATGGCTCCATGCATCTCTCCTAAAAATAATGTGAATCAGACTAATGATGAAATAGTGGCATCATCAGGAAGGCTCAGGAATAAAACATGCCAAGATGTTGCTTGTTTGGTATATTCCCCAGCATTCCATTCAGACACTCCTGGGTCCATTCAGCTGTGGCTATGGGAGGACCTGACCTCTCAATTGTCAAGGGATAATACTGTGAGAGATGCAAGTTTGCTTTGCTTGTATGGTTTGGCCATCCCATTTGGAGGACTTGTTAAAGTTCTCAAGTTGATTATATCTCTTTATTGCAGGTGGTGCTTCAATAGAATACTTGTTAACTCAATTTGATTGTGGAATCCTTCAAAACTTCCTGATGTGTCATTGTACTTGAATCTTCAATATATTTCTTCTGCCAAGTATCTCCAAGCACCCAATATGGAATAATTGCCGGAGGAAATAGACTGTATATAGTATCAACCACTCAGAGGCGTTCAGAGAAGGAGGTCAATGATCTCTTGGTTGTGGATCTTGATGAAGCTTCCCAATAGCTTGACAATCTCCTGGTTGTTCTTCTGAGCAAGGGATGCCATGTTGACAAACAAGTGTTCCAGAGTCTTTGGGATTGAGCCATTGCTGTTGGAGCCTAGAGTGAACAATTTGTCCAAACTTGTCTGGCCATACGCAATCAGACTCAAGTTGAAGCGGTTCTCAGGAAGGGCACCTGCAGCAAGCTTGCAATTTCAAACATTGCTCATACACCTTGATCTCCTTCTCCTTCACATTTGATGGGGGTAGATCACCTTGTCTGCTTTGGATTTGTACAGCTTCACTTGCTGGTTTGTGTTGATCATGGAGAAGGGTATGGGATGAGATAGATTGATGATGGTGATGAGAAGAGTTGCTTGGGCTCAGGAAATCGGGCAGCTTACATAGTGTGCAAGGAATGGGCTCTTCTTGTTGACCAGCAGAGGTGTTGCACTTGCGCTGCTGGAGTTGAAGTTGGTTGGTGATTATGTCCAGTTGTCCTTGGAGTTGCCTCTCAAACCCGGCAAATCCTTAGTCATGTTGCCTCTCAAACCTGACCAATCGTTCATCCTGTTGCCTCTCAGATCCTGGTGAATCATTCATCCTGTCCCCTCCTTTGCTTTCACAGTTTCAGGGGCTCTTTGGATAAAAAAGTGAGGGAGGATGAACAAGGAAAGTTTGATGAGAAAAAACGGAAAAGAAACAAAAACACACCTTGGGTGGCTAGCAATTGGTTAGAAGTCCTCATGACTTCCAAGTGGTTTCTAGCTGCGGTTGCACTTTGGAGGATGTTGGTTGATTGGGCTGGGAAGGGATAAAATGATGTGAGGGGGATGTATGTGTCATAGATGAGACATTAAAGGGCTGACAGACCTTGGTGAGCTAGAAATTGGTGCACCTGGATCAGTTGCTGGGACCAGGAGGTGAGGGTTGGGGGGTTTGGTGTATCTGGCAGTGGCTCGGGAGCCTGCCTTCGATAGAACTGGGCCATGGTATTTATGTTTAGGTAATGGGTCTGTGTGTAATATTGGTGGCTTAAAAGGAGGGGATAATGTTTGTCTGTCTTCGGTCAACATTGATTCCCTGCTTAAATATGTATGACTCATTCACCTCCTCCTCCACTGCCAGCTTGGAGGCTTGGTTTCAGAATGGCCCTGCTGTGGGACTACTAAACGCTCCCCATCAGACCTCCAAGGAGCTTGGATACCGTCAACATCCCAATTTTCTTGAGAGTTTGCAAAAGTGATCTTGACACTGTCATAATAGGTACTGGACGGCAATGCTGAAAATGAGCGAGATGATAAGGAGCCGTGTAGGAAGCAGCAAGAGCAAGCTCCAGGACAGATCAATGACAACCATGCAGCCTGTTGTCTTGGACGGCAACCAGCTGTGCAGGCATGATGATGATGGCCAGACATGCCAGCCAAAGAGAGATCAAGAAGCGTGAGTGGAGCAAGATCAAAGCTCTCAAGGCCATTGTCTCCAAAGGTTCTCCATTAGACTCAGCCTCTCTGTTAAAGTTACACACCAATTAGTGTGGCAGAGAGGCTTGAGCCCAAAGAGAAATTGCCCTCCTGTCCTAAACTAATGTACACGGCAGTTTCAGGCACTGCCTCAGCTAACTGCTTGGACATGCCTGTCCAACAAGTCATTCGACCGGCGTGCCCAAGCAGTTCTCGTCCAACAAGTCATCAAGCTGGCTTGTCTGAGCTGTTGACAGGCAGAACAATCTCCTCAGACAGGCAAGTCTGACCTCTTGTCAGACAACCATGTTCAAGAACTGCTAAGACAGGCTGGTTTGAGGATTTGTGGGGCTGGCCCGTCCGACCAGATAGTTTACGCAGTGAGGGCACTGGCAATAAGAGCTGGGAACCTGTAGGTCAAATTGCCAGACTTCAAGCCACTGTTGCCCCTTAAAAAACAGGCCTCATGAGGGTATAAGCTGTCAACATGCCAACACATTCCTTTTTGTTGGAAAAATGGCCAGCAAACCTTTTTCATGCTGACTGACCAGTTATTACACCATCAAACCCAAGCTCAGTAGAAAAGAGGTCATGGCCATTGATGTTTGGAGAGCAGTTGAACACATTGGGGATATATGTGATCCAGGCAGAGAAAGGTAGAGGATGTGAGTCAGAAGATGACAAAAGTGATCTTGACGCTGTCGATAATCCCAACAGCAATGCCAACAATCAGTGTAATGATGAGGAGCTGTGTAGAAAGCAGAAAGAGCAAGCTCCAGACGCCGGCTGCAGAACAAATCAATGATGAGGGTCATCTTGGAGGGTGACCAGTTGTGCGGCCAGCAGTGGTGATGGCCAAAGAGAGATCAAGAAGCCAATGGTGATGATGAAAGATGAGCTGAGCAAGATCAAGGCACTTGTTGTATGCCCCTGCGCACTGGGTTGCAAGCAATGTCAATGACAGCTCCGGAGTCCCTCTGTCCCACAGTACTCTATCTCTTCAAACAAGTCCATAAATCCTTCAGTGGGAAGGATTTTTTGATTTAAGATACCCCTCTTGCTTCCCCCCATTACTTCACTCTCTGTGCTGCTGGTCTCCTACTGGTGTTTTCTTCTGCTTTGAATCTGGGAACTTCAATCCTCCAAATATTTTTTTCCCATCATCAGTTTTCTTCCAGTTTATTTAATTGTGTAATTTGATCCTCTTCTTCATGAGTTTTCCTGCTCCCATAATATTTAAAAAACTGGTGCTATGATCTTTGAGGTCTTCCAAGAGCAAAGTCTGCATAAATTTGATTCCACAATATTCCACTCGCCCCCAGTAAGGAAGACTGTTTAGACTGCTACCTTTTGCTCCTTCTTCTGTTGCAATCTTATTTCTTTCAGAGTATGTCTTGCATTTCTCACGTTATTGTTTGATTTATGGCTGCTTTGAACGAGGTATTACAGCAGATAAGTACATATTCTCACCTTTGTATTACTCAGCTAAAAGTAGGTTGAGACATGCAAGAGCCACCACTCCCAATGATATGGTCTTTCTGTAAGGATGGAGATTGTCCTTCACTTAATCCTGATCTTCTGGGGTGCAGACAAAAGGTTTCTGGGGTTAGAGTGTCAAATTTCAAAGCAAACTAGATGGTTGAGAGATGATTTGATTAATCAAGATAAGAAAGACTAGAATGAAACTGAAAAGGAAAAAAGACTCACCTAGACAGTTGAGAGATGAAATGAGCAGTCTAGGGAGGACCTGACAAGCCTAGACTAAGTACCGGCTAGAATGGGTTTATGTAATCTGGGACACCTTTAATGTGAAGCCCAGCAAGGGGCTTTTGCACTTTCCTTTGGTCTTCTTAGTGAATGGATCGAACAAGTCAATGTAGAGACTGAATACTCTGGAGTTTGAATTCAAAATATTGCTTCAGTCTGAAGGTCCCACAATGTTTTTCCATATATCACTCATTTATCCATTCTCCCAGTACTGGACACTAAAAGAAAATGCCAAGCAACTGCTAGAAGCTCCGATCAAACTTCAATGCAAGCTGAGGTCCTTGTGCTGATGTAACTTGGTGGTACAGCCCTAAGACTTCAAAGAGGTAGATGGACCAGATCAAGGTACAACAAAAGTTTGAGTTCAACTCAAATTCAGTGCAGGGTATGGTCTGAGCTCTTGTATGTCAACTGACACCAGTTGCTTAACTTTTTCTTGTAGTGGGTATTTGAGATTTGAATCAGCCAGGCATTTGAAGCAAGAATCCAGAGCTTGTGCAAGAGCTAGTTCTTTGGGGTTTGGAATGTGAACATTTGTACTGGCTTAATTATTATTTATGAGCCAGATCCTTCAAATTCTGTAACATTTGCCTCACACAGTTGTTCTTCATTTTTGACCCTCTTCCAGAAACTTCTTTGATGATGAGTAGAAAACAGCAGTACAGGCCGCTGTGATTTTGGGGATTGACTTTTCATCCTTTTTAGGTATTTCATGAATCAAATACAATTTGAAGCAATCTGGGCAGCAGATCAGTTTTGGTGAAACCAACATTAAATCCAAGTTGTTGCATGAGAGTTGTTTTTAAGAGAGGTATGTTATCAACAATTTGGGTAGTGTCAAATTGAAATTCTCAAGAGTTTCTTTTTTCAATTTCCATCTTAAAAAGCTTTGCCATGGTTTAATCACTGACACCAGTTATAATCAAAAGGCAACAAGCTGCTGGGCTATGTTGAGGAATAAGCTGAAACAAATTTGTTTGAGATGCTTGAGTGTTGACTATTATTTGATGACTGGGGCCAATATTGGTGTTTAGATTTGATTCTTCAGAACATGTTGTGGTCGAGATCCTCCAATCTTCAGTCTAACCATTCCTAGTAAGTCAGCCCAGAAGATAGAGACTTTCAAAAACAGAACAGAATACCACTCAACTGGACACTCAGGTATATCCTGGAGAGTAGTCCCAACTTCCCTGTCCTTTTGATTGGTCTTCCTCTGTGAAATTGCTTTCAAGTGCAACTTGAATGATGTTACTGACAATGTCTTCCCGGCCACCTTCTCTCCACCTGTTTGGGAATCTCTATAAGCTTCTTGATTGCACACCAATTTGGTACACTGGCAGATCTTCCATCAGAGGTGCATTCTTCAAGTTGATGATATTGTGGCTTGTATGGTTGTTCTTGTATTGAGGGTTATCCTTTTCTCTTGTGTTCCTGTATTTTCTATGAACTAGGAAATTTACCTATGCAAAATGCATGGTACTGTAACTACATGATTCCTCAACCAATAATTCCATTATAAATCTATGGACTGAACAATAAAGTTAGGTATTATGATGATTGTATTTCTTTGTTATTTTACACATTCTAAGCCCAGCAATCTTAATCCTCAGTCAACCCCTTGATCCAGTAGAGGTTGACTTCTTTAGATAAACACAGCCTCCATTTTCATAACAATTTTCCTCTATCAGATAGTCATACGCTAAGCCTGCCAGGCTTATCAATTTTGGCTGAGACATATCCAAGCTCTCCTCAAATGAAATATGTTGCATTTAATTTGCTACATCTTCCTCATCACATTCATCACCTATCACACTAAAAACCAGTCAGGCTAATACAAAGTGTCTTTCTTGTAATTTGGGGTGGGCCAGCAGGAGACATTTCAAGAATCGATTTTTCTATCAAATAAGATCTGTGGAAAATTCAAGCCAACACAGATTTTGTTTAATTCCCTCCCATGGAAAAAAGTGCTTTTCACAGGGCAGAAATGACTGCATTTTTGATTTTTTTCCATGGTTTCCAGTCAGATTACACTTAGATCATAGTAAACAGGTGGAAGAGGCACTGCAAATTGATTGCCCTTGAAAAACTTAAAAAGATAGAAGAAGGTTTTGGTCACACCACAGATTACTTGGCTAACCAATGGATTCAACAAAAAGAATGTCAGCTTTTGGCAATGGAGACTGAGTCTGAAAGAGATATGATGAAACAAGTTGAAGAACTTGTTGAGATGGAAGACCAACTTTTGGATACACAGTGATTTGTTTCCTTAGAATCAGCACACTTAGCCATTAACATTGCTTTTGAGACAGATGCAGAGACAAAGTCTTCTAATCAAGTTGAAAGTGAGCCAATCCAAGCTCTATAAGGCCAAAGTACAATAACTGGATTAACAAAATAAATACTCATTTTGATAACGGGAGTCTTCCATACCAAGGGCTTTGCGGTAAAGAAAGATCAGCAATTCAGCTTCAAGATATCTCTCAGCAGGTCAAACAGAAAGCCGACACAAATCGATGTCTGCCAAAAACATGTAAAACAAGTATCTCAAACCCTGCCCCCTACATACCACAATCCTGAAACCTGATGGCAAACACTGTCACGTCTCTAATGACTAAAGATTGAAAAATGATCCAATAACTACCACGTACACAAAACAACTGTACTGAACATACCAAATAATGATCAGACCCTAGTATGATTACGTAGCTATCACATGGAAGCTCTACAAAGACTAATCATATCTCACCTGAGTAATTGCTATGTGCAAACTGAGATACAGTCAAAAGAGCGCCAAGAAACACCAAATCTATTAACAAAATCAAATCAGATCAAGGATCAGTAATTGATCTGCCCCTCACTGCTACCAAACAAAGTTTCAGAAGAGCACACACCACACATCCAAAGATGAGAGACCAAATACAAACTCTGATCTTCAAAAACATGTCAGACCGTTGACCAGCTATAAGATAAGGGCTAGAAAACACTGCTATAAATCAAAAAAGCAAACGATTCACCCCCCATCTATCAGCACAACCAGACACAATAGCCTACATCAACTCTACACCTTGAAGTCCTGACTCTAAAAATCAAAGTCACAAGCTTGTAGAAAACCAAAGTAAGCTGCCTACATAACCAGGTCACACACCAAAGGTATCTAACATAAAAGCTTATTGACCATTCTGTAGGAGCACCACTTGCTATCAACCAAGACTACTTACACCTAATAAGTACTCCAGTGATTATCATGTCCAACAGTAAGTTATCTATCTTAACATAACAAAAAAACTCACTAGGTCCCATCTAAATCTACTATCTCATATTCAAAAATCCAGTGTCCATCCCCAACACTCCTAGCAGGAGGAAGGGAACCTGCAACAAGACCTCCATCAAAATAGAGGGGCCTCCCGTGATGTCCACTGAAATCAAAGACTAACCTACTAAAAGAATCATGTCGGCGTTAGGTAAAGATCCAGACTCCAACATGCAAGTTGCAAACCTGGAGAACCTACCCTTCTACATGGAAGATGTCAATATCAAACCGGTCATCCCACTGCCAACTACCATTGGCGACTCTTGGGAAAACATCAGACAGAGCCCAGTTGCTCCAACGCTCCACTCCTCACATGCGATTCCGATCGATGTGGGATCGATTCGGTCACAATGATTGGTGCAAACTCAAAAGTCAGAAGGAACTCAACGTCATGATCATCCTGATCCAAGCACTAGGAGAAGGGAAATCAGCCATTGATAAACCTGATATCTCGCTCCACTCTGCTCTCAAAGAACTTTGACTCACCCCTTATAAGCTCCTCCAACTAGCCAAAGACCATGTTGACTGGCCAAACAAATACATGATTCAACTATCCCCAACTGATGCACTCCAGCCCCCAAGCTTTGACAACCGCTTGCGAGGTGTCTTCTACGGCACAGAAGGCAGGAAGTCAGCGTACGTTTGCAATCTGATGCCGATCTTCAAAGCTGAAGAACTCCACCTTGTTGGACGCTTCCTCAAGCTCAAAGCCCACTTACCTGCCTGTGGTCCAATCAACCCCAAAGACAATAGTGAGGAAAACCTCACTAAATATGCCTTGAAAATTGACCAGGGCTACAGGAGCAATCCTCGTTGGACTGAAATCAACTGTATGCCAATCAAACACAACGGAGAAAAGGTTAACAGTATCCTGACCTATAACGGCGACCTTACCCTTTTTATCACGTCTATTCCAACCAGGGAAGTGCCAATGAAGCTCTGGAAGAGCCCCAACAACAAGCACTTACAAGGTATGGTCTGTGGCCATCCTGTCAAACTCAAACTCCTCTCAGCCTGCCAAACGTGTGGCTCTGAGGACCACGACGTTGCCCACTGCCTCTACACCAACCATCTCTTGGGTGCACCTGCCATACCGGAGGAGTCAGACAACGAGATTATGGAAATCAGTAACATTCCTGAACCAATCTCCAAGAAGAAAAAGAAAGCCTATAAACCGGCATCTGAAGTATCCACCATCAAACAACGTGGTAATGGTTGTCCGGTTGCCTCTTCCTCCCTTGAGTAATCGCTCCTCTTAACGAACTCATAAACTAAAGTTCTAACCATCCTAATGCTCATACACTAGCTGGCGGAAAAGCACCGGCTCACCGTGGAGGTAAGATATAAGTCACTGATACTCACCCAACACTCCAACATACCTGGAACAGGTGATGATCCTGCATTTCACCTAACTGCTGTTGTACAAGGAGTTGTACCATATTTGCTATACAAATATATCAAACAAAAACAATATATTAGCAATCTTCTTCTTCTGAATATCATCTTGTAACAACATTGGATCAAGGCTGAACGATATCAATACTCACTTATTGAATCAATCTCCACGTGATCCACTTCCAAATAATCCTCTTTCAAACATGAACCTATAAATAAAAAGTTGATACTAGGATAGGAGAAGGACCAGTATGACCCAGCCGGTGACAAAGGAGTGACGGTTGGCCTGGATGTAGAGGTTGATCTGGCTCAAGAAAGCCTCTGCTTTAGCTCCTCAAGAGCCATCTAACTTGTCGGGGGCACCAATCTTGGGGCCCCTACGCAGCGTACTTTATACCATCAAGGGGCATCCTTTTCCTTCTGGGATTTGGTCAGCTGGGCCTCCTTCTTGGTCAATTGCTCCTCTGTCTCTTTCTGGAGCTTTTATTCTTCCATGACCACAGCCATGAGTCTGGCTATCTGCTTCTGGAGCTTGGAGAATTTGGTTGGGTCTACGTCCATCGTAAAGCAGTACAGGGCGGCAGGTAATGCTTTGACGGTGCATAGTGACTTCAGAAGGTGCAAATAAGATTGTGGAAGCTTACTTTTGTACTTTCACACCTTTCCAAACGGCTTGTGTAGGCTCTTCTGGGGGTCTGGGGTCTTTCAGGGTGTCTATGGGAGGGCCAGGGGTCTTACACTGTTCTGGTGGGCTTTGGGGGCTCTCTCAGGGTAGGTGGGGCACATCAAGAGCCTCACTGGGGCTGCTGTTGGCACCCTGGGGTCTCTAGAGCGCTTTGGAGCATTGCAGGGATGCTCTGGGGCGCCTCGCGGCATCTGAGGGGGTTCTGGGGGTCTCTGGGACCGTTAGGGGTTGTCCGACAATGATCCAACAATCTTGATTGGTCCTGGGGGCCTCAGGGTCCTAGGTGCAATCAGAGGTTCTTGGGGTGTCCAGAGGGGTGTGGGGGGTCTTAGGGGCTGTTGGGGTTGTCTGACAACAATCTGGCGGTTCTAGGAGGTCTAGGGGGATTCCATGTTGTTTCCAAGGGTTGCTGGGCAAAATCCAAGGCTCCCAAGCAATTCCAAGGGTCTAGGGGGGTCATCCAATGACAATCCAACAATTTGGCAGCTAATACCTGAGCGATCCGGCAAAGAAAAAAAAGAAGGGAAACAGAGGGCTCCTGGGGGTCCCGTGGGTACTGTGACAGGGAGAGAGGTGTAGAGGGGTGAGTAACAGGGTTGCTAAACAAGGTTTGAGAGGAGTCTTTTTGAGGTTGATTTTCAAGGTTTCAGAGGTGAAGATTTGGGTGTTTCTGTCCTGGTCTCCGTGTAGGTTGATCTTGCAATGTGTTAGAAATGTTCTGGGGAGAGCAGGGTAGATCTTTTAGGTTCTGGTTCCAAAGTTTCTTTGAGAATGTCAAAGGACTCATTTTCTCCTAATAATAAACTAGGGTTACAAGCATGCAAGGCAGGTTTGACGGTGCGTAAACCTGCACACAGGGTTGAGATGGTTTGAAACCAGGTCTATCCATGTGAAACCAGAGGTTACACACTTTAAACCAGGGTTTGACACATTGGGGCAGACAGATGAAAAAAGGTGTGAAGATTTGAAAGAAGCACATTTATGAAGATAGGCTGTGCACAAGGGTGGAAGGAGTGAGGGAATTGAAAAATAACTATGCAGAACAAGCACTGACAAGCTTCGCATTGATTTGAACTGAACAACCAGTTTTAGTGAATTTTCTAGAGGGTTCACTGGAAGCCATGGTTTGATGTTGAAATGTATTAGCCTTCCACAACATCTCAACAATTCCACCATTCCCATTTGGATCTACTAAGTATTTTAAACTAGGAAATAAATATTCACCACCAGTTACATCATACTTGTCCTCTAGAGTTGCCAATCTACCATCTTCAGAGAATGTTGGCGCAGAAAGGAAATAAGCAGAAGGGCTACAATCATTATCAAGGTGGGATTTGTTGCAGAATTTGGAATGCGTCCAGGTAATGTTTGGACCCAGGATGGTTTCTTTATCTTGATGTTCAGGTGTGGTGAGTGATTTCCACGAAAATCTGGGGACTGAAGTCTGCTTGGCATGTTGATCATTTGCCTCCAGGCAGCCGTGTGCAAAAATTTCAACTCTCTTTTGAATGAGGTGATCCACAATCTGCATGTTTTTTACTCCTTCTTGCTCCAATTTTTCACCTTCTGGAGTTTTGAGCAATTCGCATAAGGACCTACAAAACATGCATGCATCATCAGTACGGTGTATGATGAGCCTCAGGAGGAAGAAAAAGAAATGGAAAAGAAGACCCACCAGTCCCCGTCAACAAGGACCTAAAGCCGTGCGCATACATCTTTCCTTTGACTAGGGCTTCATTCGTCTTGACCAGATAACGTACTTTCTCTATAGATTGGAAGGTTTTTGTGACAAATTCAAGGTCTTGTCATGTTTGAGAATCCATGTCCTGGAAACGTGTAAACAAACAATATATGGCGATGACCTCCTTCTGGTTTCCGTGAGTCAAGATAAAACTTCCCTGATATTGGGAAAGGGCATTCTTGAAGTTGGATGACTTGAAGAACGCATCCGGGATGTAACCAACGACATCTTTGTCCTCCTTGGCATGGCCACGAGCAATGTTACGTAGATTCAACATTTGGGCAACCTGAAACCGGGCTTTTTCTTGAGAGGACATGCCCTTTGTGAGTGGGACTTTAGTAATATTGTCTCGTTTGTTTTTGACTTTACTAGGGGCCCACGTGCCAGCACGCCATTGCTTAACTGATTGTGTTGGGTTGGGTTCCCTTAGGTTGATAGCGTCCTTGACCAGTTGAGCCTTGGCCACTGCAATCTCCTTACGCTCCCGCTTCCCAGGCCGGATGGCCTTTGCTTTTGTGTCCGGGCCAGCACTGTGAAAAAATATTGCTGAAGTGCTGTCAGTTGACATGCGGTGTTCTTGAGTTCAATCTCAACTTAAACATGGTTGATTCAACCAAGAACCCTGGTGGTACACCCTGAGGTCTGTGCATACACAGCCCCTTTTAGAACCTTCTTTTTGGCTCAGACAATGCATTATTGCATTAGCACAACCGAATGTACTGGCCATGAAAGGGTTTATTGTATGTACATACATCGGGGCACTCAATGAAACGGTGCCACCCTGCCTGACACAGCTGCAGTGTACCTCACCTGGCACCCCCTTGTACATGGCAGGTGCAATATGTGAAATCAGGTTAGCCCATCTGCACCAAAAACCAGCCTCGATGAATGGCACCAAGCCCTTACAGTTGAAAATATGCAGGCCATCCTGGTGGCATCTGGTGGGTCAATGTGATGAAAGCAATGTTCAGCACACAGTTGGTGTGCCTTAGGCCCAAAAACCATCTAACAATCAGCTGTATAGTTGTCAGCATAGAGACACCCCCATACTCCCATCGCCATGGGGTGACACAAAGTTGAGTGTATTTGGTCTGAATACTTGCTCACCAAAAGGAATCACTCCCTCAATTGCACAACTTGAGTGGGTGAAAAGAAGGTTTTACTGCTTAGATTTAGAGAATGACTTCAACAGACGTTGAATGCTACCAACAAACATATTTTTTTATGCTTGAAAATCAGGCCACTGTGGCGGTCGCAACTAGTGTTGGCGGTTGTTTTGTTGATTCGGTGGGACATTGCCATTTGAGTGTACCCTGGCGTTTCAACAGTAGGAAATGTGCAGTGTTTGTATTGGTTGGCAGCCCAGATCATCTTCACAATACCTCTTTGCTTGAAATCAATACAAAAATGATAATCTGGGAATACAAAACGGCCGCCAGAGACATCATAATTGTCGGAGGAGCTGACTAGAGTTCCATTGGCAGTTTCTGTGGGAACAAATAGAGCAAAGGCAAATTTGAAAATATCAGCTTTGTCCGTGTGAGGATTGTTGTAAAAGCTGTTTGTAGTGAAGGTGATGTGTGGAGAGCAGTCGAATTCAGAGAGTTTTTTGGTGAATTCAGAAGTTTGGAGTTTGTGACATGTGCGTAACAGACTATGTACTAACATCCCCAGGTCCAGGATCCAATAGCTCATAGCAGGTTCCAGTTTATCTAGCTGTAAAAGAGTTTGCTGTGGATCCAATATGAAGCAACATAAGCAAAGCAGACACAAAGCCACCCTTCCCTTTGCTACGACCATTATAGACAATAAGTTTGTAGATCAATCTCAAGAGCCAATCATCACCCCTGAATTAGCCACAGAAACCCCAAATTGAAAACCTCTCAAGCCACAAAACCCTAGTGTTTCAGTCTCATCACCAGCCAATGCAGCCAGAACACAAGAGGAAAAGACACACTTCTTGTTCCATCCCAAAATACAGGCAGATTGATCCAAAGCCAACTAACATCATAAAACCTGAAAAACTGGCTAAACATTACCACAAAGTCTTGTATGGGATATCATTGCTCCAAAAGAGCAAGAAGCATTCTGTAAGGTCAAATTTGTGTGTTTTTCCTTGATGACACCTTCCAAGATCAAGGGGTGGGAGAAACTTGTAGTCTTCTTCTTTGATAGTATGAACTATGTCATAAAGGTTAAAAATGATAGACCTCTTATAGGAGGGCATATGTGGACTGATGGGTGGAGAAAGTGTCCTAAGAAAGACAAGGCACTTGGCAAGTATTGCTCAGCAGGAAGGCTTGCACAAATAATAATGCTAGCAAATTACAGCCAAGACAATGAAGCAGCTGCCATTCAGGAAGCAAACAACTGAATAGCCTTTCAGCTACAAAACATTGCTCCTGGAGTCTTTCAAGTGTATCACCAAGTGAGTTCTCATCAACAAAAACTCCCATTGAAGGCCCACATGGAATATCCAACAACATACAACACCTTCACAATGAATAATTTTTTTGACAGACCACACAATGATGGAATCTTGTATGTTGGATCCCAATCTTAAACCCAAATAATTGCCAAGAGGAAGACGTCATTTTGGCAGACAAACACCTGGATGTGATTGGAGGCAAATTCACCTTCCAGGACTTCCAAGTGTACTTGTTATATTTGAATGAGGTAATTGGGGCTACTCTGTGTATTCAGATCTACCAAACATAGGCATCAAACTTTGCCAGAGGTCAATCAATCTCTTTCCAAATAAAGTATACCCACCTAGGTTTCTCTTGCCAAATATCTGAAAAGATGACTCTGGCAATAATTTCCTATTTGACTGGTAAAAATCAGAGAAGCCTGTAGCTGGACAACAGGTTCAAGTAAAAAATGCTGAACAAAAGTTGGCTGCAAAACAATAGTACATGTTATCTTTGTTGTCTTCTGTGGTCTTTGATGAGCAATCCATGTGAATTGATAAAATTCAAATGCAGGACTAAGATTTTGTGCACAATGCAGCTTGAAATGAGTATGACTTAAAACATCTGGGCCAATTTTGAAATGGTTTGGATCTGTGAATCACATCACACCAATGTGGTATTTAGTGTGATGATGGGATGGAAGTAGGGAAATGTAGACTGACATTTTTGAGTGGTTCTGGAATCATTTCAGCTCCAATGATTTCCAACTGCTGCATGATGAAAATCATGTCATTCATGCCTGATTTGGATTTGATGCTTGAGCAGCAACTTGATGAACCAGTAAAAAATAGCAGGAACAAAAATTCCAAAGGGACATAATTTCAATAGGGGGTATCAAATACTGGAAACCAGTCAATTTTCCCCAAACTTTTTTTTGCGTCAATGGGCCCCCAAAAGGGTTAGATTGATAACTAACGTGTTTAAAAAAGGGTGAATTTTTTCAAACCAGTCAATTGAATAGTGGTGGATTTAGTTATATTTGATACCCCTAATCAAGTATCAAAGAAACAATCTCAAGGGTGAAGATATATTAAGTTCAGAATATATATTTTTTGCTGAACATACATAGGTATTCATGCAATTCTGGTAAGAGAGAGAGCTGTTTGTTTATTTTTTATTGGATCATATTTACACTACAAACAATACCAGTTTTGCCCCAGGAAAAAATGGCAATTTGAGTGGTGGAAAATTGTTCAATTTCCTGAGTCATTTTGTAAAAAAATGCTCAGGAAAGTGACCTATTTTCCACCAACCAAATTGCCTTTTTTTCCTGGGGCGAAATCGGTATTGTTTCTAGTGTTACTAAGCTTACTGCTACTTGTGTAGATTTCTGGTCTGAAAATAGGTATGCTAAGCCAATTACTAGAAGCTTGAATCTCTTGCTTCAAATCATTTAAAAACTTTGTAACATATTGTCTGGTGTATGTTATGTGTATGTATTGGGAAGTATGGGAGCACTAGTGGATCTCAGGGATCAGAAAGTTCTGTTTGTCTTTTGTAAAGCAGTTGAGAGGCCGGACACATCTGGCTCTCAGATGAGCACTCTCCTGCACCTGGCCCCCTGTCAATATCTTGATCCAGACATTTATGTGAGAGCACCAGTTTCAGACATTAGGTACATAAACACCCTTTTGGTTTTTTCTTCCGTTTTTTCATCCTGTTATCAACAGCCAGGCTACATAAGAGCCCATCAATTTTAAATTTGGCCTTTAAAGATACAAACAAACTAAAAGCCATACCGTGAGAGCGTTAATGCTCCAGGCTGAGGACCATAAAAGGCGCCTTGCCACAAACTGTTTTGTTCCAGCTAAATCTTTTCACCTATTTTTCTCACCCAATCTAAGGACTCTCAGAAAACCCTACTGAAATGCCTCTGTACCTCAAGATTAACCTTGTAGATTACAAAAATTTGTATTACGGTGAAGCCCAATGGTAAGAATTTCACACCTACAACAGTTGATATTTACTTACAGTATTTATTTTCAGGTGCACCAAACATTGGCCCCAAAAAAGAAAACTTGGAGACTCCAAATTAGTTATCCAGCCAGGCCACCATCACCCCCAAAGCAGTGCATAATGAATTTAATTCTCCTTGTCAATTGCCATTTGGTGAAAACCTGGTGAGAACCAAATCTATATTCAGAACTTGTGCCCCCTTCAACTTGATATTTTGGCCAAAGAAAAAAAATCACCCCCTACATCTCAAAAAAAAAGGACCTGGTGAGTACATTTTTTGATCTACTTCTTCTTATCAATTTAACTAATTACCTCTCTATTTTCATACCAGCAAAGTTCAACTGAAAGTGTTTTGGATGGTTCTACAAATCTTAACCACAGGGCAACAAGCTAGAACCCTTCTTCCTTGTATCTTCCTTCTGTATTTTCCTTCTCATTTCATTGTTATCTTCTTTTGTCTTGAGATCAACAATATGGGGTCTAGTTCGTACAAAGGTCCCAAATGTGAATAAATCCCCCCTACTCCAGCTAGTAATTTTGTTGATTATCCATTCCAATGGTTCTGTTGTAGCCTTAGAGCAGGATGGGAGAGCCAGCTGGCAAGATTTGGAAAATTGGCTGGTTTAGACAACCACTCTGATCCGCTAAACAGGGACAAGGGAGGGTGGAAAAATTAGTAACAGGCTGCTGGACAGGGTATTTGACAGGAAACCACTGATTGGTTAATTGATTGACCTGTAGGCTAAAAACTTCAGGTGAATATGTTAAAAGGTGTGCATTTGTTGTCCAATTCTACACATGAAAATCAAACGCATAACACCGGTTTTGCTTTGTTTACTTGGGAATACAAATGTTGATGGATGTAGATGGTGATTGAAATTTTTCAATGTGTTTCATCAAACAGTAGATGGGTTTTGATTTTGAATGCCTTTGTCAATTGAACTTTTTGCTTGGCCAGCCCACCTTATTCCTTTCTCAGAAGCTGGCTGTATCTCCATTCCCATAGTTTTTCTTGAAGCTGTGTTCAAAAGTTGCTGGTCTAGGGGTGTAGGCTTTTTCAGCAGATGAAAATTGAAGGCATTCAAAGAAATGTCTGTTGCTAGAAAGGTAGGAAGTTAATTTTCTCAGAAACTTTTGCCAG